GGGGGGACATTACATGAGACGTGGGTAAGTCGTCCCTGCATTCTTAAGCCCGAAGGAAATTACATTATAACAGTAAACTCTATCACAAGTGATAAAAAAGGTTTTTTTTACGTCTGCAGAAAGCATTTTAATCTGGTGATACCCAGAGAATACGTCGAAAAAGCTTGGGACTGAATGACCGACCCCTGAATCTACTAGTGTATCAATCCTTGGTAGCGGATATGTCTTTCATGGAGGTAGAGTTCAGGTTGGTGAAGTTCACGCACATCCTCCATTTTCCGTTAGCCATCAGCACCATCACCACATTGAAGACCTAGCTGGGGCACTGCACTTCTCAAACGTATCACGCCTTTTTCAGCTTTCGTACCTCTCGGATGGCTCCCGCCAATGTCATGACCAAGCTTCTAATCTTCTGCTTCATGGGCCAAACCGATGGATCAACATTCAATCTATGGCAGACAACGTAGATCAGCACACCTAACATTTCAGCGGCCATCCATGATTTGCTTGGAGGGTCTAAACCAACAGCTCCCTATGTCCTGCATCAAAACTTTCACTTATTTAAAACATTTACCTAGCTCCCCCTCGACAACTGAGACTTCAGGGATGGTCTCATTGGCCTAGCTCACATTCCCTAGCATTTTGGATGTCCAAAGGATCATGTTCCACGTTGCTTATGGTTTGCAAGTAGCAAACTCGGGACTGTTCCAGGTAACCCTTGACAGTGATGATTTCTCCGTCTCCAGAAAACTTGACAGCAACATCATACGTAGAGACCACTGCCCTGAAATCATTCAGAAGCGATCAACCAAATATAGCAGTATGTGTCAAGGGGAATCCATCACGAAGAAATCCTCCGTTGGTGTAAACTGTTTTTCATTTTCCCTCTCTTCAACCGACATCCCTTCAAACACCTCATTGGGAGACCACAACCCACGCAACAACCTGAACAAACATTCTTTCTCCTCTGACAGGAACACTCACCTCCGATGGGTGCCCTGTAAAGTGAATGTCAGAACGGCTTCCAGCCTGCTCCGTAGCTCTCTCCTGCAACAACCCACAAGGAAACCCAAAGACCTGACTCGCTCCTGGCGCTCCTCAATTCGTGGTATCAGCACAACCCTCTTCTTGCTCATTTCTCTTACAGAGACTTCGCTCGTCGGCTTCCGCTTTACGCCTGGTTGCGGGCCTTTGCTCGCATGTCATTCATCGCCTTGAGAAGGGCGTCCCTGACAGCAAACGATTCTCCTCCGCCATACATAATAGCAGATATGGGGAGAAGATGAAAATTCTAAGGAGTGAGAAGGAGAAGAGAAGACATAAACTTTCCTTATATCATGGCTTAATTATCATGACAAGGGCACAAAAATCTAGGAGAGTTCAATATTGCATAATAATGTCATTCAATTATTTCTTACATGTTAAAAAATTATTCTGTCCTCGTGTGCTTTGCAGCTTTCAAGGAACAAAAAAAATCGGGAAACTATACATATACACCAAAAAATATGCCAGCACAGTTTTCAAGGCAGAACGAACGACTCAGAAGGATAATGTGATTAGTCGACATTTCTGTTAGCGATTGACGAATTAATGCTACCGAAGGAGATGTTTAGAACGATCGATCGTAAGAACGTGCTAGAGTATTTCCCACTGAAAGACGATCGACCTTAAAGCTGATCGGTAGATTGTTACATTTCGGGTCAAATATCGATGGAGTTAAGGGGAGGCCAACGACCAATGAACCTCTCGTCGACAGACATCAATCCGTCAGTCGTATTATATTCAAATATCTTTGTAATTACTAAAAAACCCCCTGAAAAGTAATGATAAGGGGATCTACTTATGATTTTGTAATATTGAGGTCCATCCTTATAAATAGAGGGCCCATGCCATGAATAAAGTTTACACATTCATGTGATTCTCTACAATCTCTCATGATTTCCTCTGCACAACGTTCTATATCTTGGGTGTGTTTCTTAGAAATTTTTAGATTCAATATATATATATATATATATATATATATATATATATATGTTTGTATGTATGTATGTATGTAGATAATGTAATTTCTAGAGTTAAGTTTGGATAGTTACAATGAAAAAGTACCTCAAAACTGCCATGCAATAATACATTATTATGGAAAACATTCAAAAGTAAATTTGATAGAAATTCAATTAGGCCATCCATTCATTCATTCATAGTTATAATGTAACTGTCTGGTTTCGTAGATTCTTATATTATGTGGTAAAGAAGTCAAAATAAGGTAAATTGAGTGTAGAAAAAAAAAACAATGCTAAGATGGCTGCATGGTTGAACTAAAGATGTATTGCGAAATGATCATAATAAATGTACAATATGAGTATCCTCTATTGAAATTTAGGTGATGAAAGATAGTTTGGGCATATAAAACAAAGAGCATATGGTAACTCCGAAAGAAAAAAAAGTTTGAACAAAAAAAAAAGTATGGATAAAGGTTATGCCAAAATGATTTGCGGATAAATTTAACATTTAATGTAGCGTCCATTAAGTAAAAAATAAAGTATTAAAATTTAAACAGCTAAGATGATGATGAAGATAATAACCATAACACTACAAAAAACTTTCTACCAGAGATGGCAAGACGATATATGGTGAAAAAAACGAAGTGGATAAATCTGACTATGAAAAGCTAAGTCAAAGATATACTCATTTATCAAAATAAAGTTAAACAATGGTAGAAAAATATTTACATGCAACCGCTTTTACAATGGAGTGAATAATGAGATCAAAAGTATAGTATTGAAGAAAATATGTACGAATATGAATTGTTAAATGGTGTGTGATGATCAATGTAATTTGCCATATCTTGGCCATGGCCTATTTCCTAGTAGAAACATATGAGGGCTCATATGGCTGCTTGTAGATAGAAAACATATTTTAGAAAAATAATTCTTTCATTTTCACTCATTTTGAGTGAAAAAAGTGGCATTATAATTTTTGAGAAAGAGTTTCGAGAAAATTTGAGGAGTTTGAAATCAACAATAATGTATAACTATATGCAAGCAAATTCTAGATTTACTAAACGATATCATTTTTCAAAACATAATTTCTAACTTTAAGCAACCAAATGTCATAAAAAAAATTCAAGGGGAAGAATTGAAATTACCTTTCCAGTTATCTTTCTATACATGTTAAGCACATCCATGACAGTTGACTCGAAATGTGAGGTAGCATCGTAACTCTACATGCAGAAAAATACATGTGAATGAATCTTTCTCATCTATTAAAACATTAATAAATAACTACTGAGGCATACCGTTGAGATGAAGCAATTATCCAGTGAAGATTCATTAACCGGCTCAAATCTATCATAGGTATCAAAAAATAGCTCATCCACGGGACCGAGAAGATCAATTCCAAGTTTCAGTTCAATCTCGGGATGATCCGTTTCAGCTTCAGTTGAAACAAAAGCGATGAACTTCCCTTTTGGGGCAATATTATGAGTATAAGAACAACAGAAAAGGTACCTGTTCAACCAGATGCGCATTGCTTAGATTACCCCACTAGTAGAAAGAGTTGGAACGACATATTAAAAACTTGTAATATGGATAGCAAACTCCTTGCAAACTCGGGAACATAGGCGAGAGTGACTTAAAAGAAATCAATTATTTGGGTTTTTAAAACTCACATATCAGACTTGCGCCCAAGCTGCTTCTGGGGCAGTATAACCTGCACTGAATGAGAGTCATTTGTATTTGGAATAGGATGGCTCATAAAAGCGATTGCTCTTGCAACCTTGCCAATCTTCCTGACCTGAAAACAGTCTGTAGAAGTTTAAAATGAAGGATGAAAGAAATTCAAAAACACACACAACAGTTGATATATTGAATATTAATATTGTATGAACATTTTTAGCTTAAATACATTCAAAGAAACACTGACAACATCTTGATCAGTTAGTTTTGATAGAACATCAACGAAAAAGTGCCCAAGTTTTATTAACCTTGTCCTAGAAAGAGGACGTCAAAGGTTTAAGTCCCATCAATAACAAAATAAAAAACCTACTGCACACAAAAAAAGAGTTTGAAACAATAGTTCAAATGAAAGAAGTAAACTTTACCCTGTTTGGCAGGTAAGAAGGATCACAAACAAGCTTCTTACATCTAGCAGTTTCACCTTCTGATGTCACACCACAAACTTTGCCTTCCTCATCAAACTCTACCTGCCAATGAAAAGATGCAAATCTCCAAATGAGCATTTAGTAAATTGATAGAAAAAGCTGCCTAAAATCATAAAATCAAAGAAGTATCTGAAAGAAAGACTGAAAACATAATCATAATCAAATGACATGGTGCCTTTACCTTGCAATCTGGCTTGTTCAACATGTACGTGCCACCATAAACAGCACTAAGACGTGCAAAAGCCTGTTGTTCCGGAAAACAATCACAAACTAGTTAATGAAAAATATATGTAAAAAAAAAACAAAAAACGCACCATTAAGCAATGACTTACCTGTGGAAGCTCCCCCAAGCCATATAAAGGATAAATATATGGTGATCCTCCTTGAAAACGAGCTAAGGATTCTGCATAAAGCTGTGCGGAGGTCAATACTTTGTATAAACCAAACATGATGTACATATAAAAGAAAACAGCACTCCAGCTAATTTACAATGTAGGAATGCCCAGTCTTCCGTTTAGAAGATTGAGCATATTCACAGTACTTGATGCATGGGAGCATCGTATGCTGGTATGATCAAGACTGCTGGGTAATACTTAATGTAGAATGATTTGAATTAGTGAGAAAGGTACTATCACTTTGACGATGAGTTAAATTCCTGGTTAAGTTACATAAAGCTTTTGAATATCATAACTACTTCAGGTTCGGTTAACTGAGCAAAACATTTGGACCAATTACTCAATGATGAGGTACATTGAAAAGGGGGCCTACTCAATGGCATACATCAATTGCCTTTTTTTAGTATCCTATTTGAGTAAAAAGAACTTGGTTTGAAAGCATCCAATTAGTTTTCAATTCACATTTTAAGCATTGTGCATGATTCTTCTACTAGAAAGAGCTCAGACAAGCTAGTGCTTTGAATAAGATCTTTAGACAGTGAAAGGCAAAGAGAGAAGAAGGTTCCTCCATAGCTACCCAAGCATTTAAACCCCACCACAGCCTCCTATTGAGTTTGATTTCATCGCTTGATTTGATGCTTTCAAATGATAATTTTGAAGCCTTAGATATATGGTTCATCCTTCTTAGGCGATTTCCCCCTTCAACAATTGGTAGAAGAGTTTCCAAAATGTAAAAGGGGATAAGAACTCATCGTTCCTATAAAAGCTCAACCAATTTACATAAAACAAGAGACCTTTTTGAAAAATTTACACGAGAGAAGAGCCCACTTTCAAAGAAAGGGAAATTGAACCCAAAAACACATATTCTGTGTAAGCTATTATGATGCATGCCAATTCAAGGTAGTGTGCCAGTTCAAGGTAGTGCGGCCGCATCTCGCTTGGCCATCCGCCTGGTCACTGAACACAAACAAGGTAGCAATCTTTCTCAAAATCGGCTCGGCTCTAATGAGGCAATATTTGATGCCAACCTAAACATTGATTACGTTTAACAAGATAAGGAGGCCTACTAGGTAAAAATTAAAGTTAGCTAAAAATCCTTTGACAACCCTATAATCTAGAAATGTCTTTGTGTTGGCAATAGCCACATTGATAAAGTCCTCAACACAATTGGTACGGGTAATGTAATTGTGTCTCAATAAGCTTACTTTATGAATTATTAATATATGCTTACTACTTTTGAAAGACATTTCAAAGCATTAAGCGAATGAAAAGGTTTGCTCACTTGTTGGAGGACAATGATCAAAAGCTAGAGGTTAGGGTTGATTTTCCAAAAGCCTACCGTTCTTGCTAAGTTGGCCCAACATTGAAAAAAGGCAGAGCTCTAGGTAGTCTGGGATGCTGAATTAAAAGAGTATGAGAGAGAAAGGTAGGCACATCTCCCCAATTTTATATTATTTCATAGTATATTATACTATTTAGAAAAAAGGGTCAGGAAGGGAAACAACACTGTCCAGAAGCATGGAAAACTGCCACAAAACGACATCCCTTAAATTAATTAAGAGCACCTGACATTTGATAGTATCAGAGATGAATGAAAACTTGAATCTAATGAGATACCCCAGTGGTGACAAGTCAGAAAGTAATGATGCATCTTGAAAAGGAACATCAAATTACAGCCCGGACTAAAAAAAAATACATGAATAAAACTAAATCATGGGCACATGTCATTTGTTATTTTCTATTTACGAGTATGTTTGCTCTGACTAATTTTTGGATCTTTATAATAAAACCATTTCAGCAAAATCCATGATAATAAGCACCTTAAAAATGTTAATCAAGAAACATAACTAAGAAAATTTTCCAAGATACCCAATATATAAAACTAATTATCAAATGATATAGATTCCTAAACATAAATGATAATTCATAAATGAAGAATGATATTGCATGGTATGTTCAGATGAAATAGCTGTGATAGGTAAGACTAAATTTAAAGTTAAAATTACATATTAGGGAGCATAAAACTTATAGAATAAAGCCCAAAGTATATGATAAGCAACTTCTCTAAAATTCAAGTAACGATTATTCAAAGTGATATCTAAAATGAAAAAATATAGCCTCATAGATCAATCATAAAAAGACCATAATCTAGATTTGAATGTAGCTAATAAAGTCAAAATTGGGTATCTAGAATGGATACGTTTGCCAATTATATAATGTGAATGGGAAACAATCAGAAACTTAAAGTTGATAAAAATAGACTATCTACCCTATCTTGGTCTAAGTATTCACAAAAAGGTGAAACTAAGTTGGTTATTGCAATAATTGGAATATTAAGATCAATGTATGGACAAACTAAATGATAAAGTCAAAACATATTTATAATAGAGCATACAAGAATAAAACTTGTTAAAGGTAAATATTATGGCAGAAAGAATTTCATGGTTTATGCATGTAAAATGAAGAGTAGATGATGCGTGGATAAATTTAAATTGAATTAGAAGCAAAGGGGCAACTCAAGTGTAACATTGATAGATTTTTGTTCAAAAAAAAATTCCTGTAAATTAAACTTAACAAATGCAAAGGATTGCTAAAGAAGATAACAGATATTTGTTCTAAGGATAATGATCATAACAATGATCCTATAAAATAACATGATAGGAAAATACAATATATAAGAATCGCATCTCATTTGTAGGCCCATATAAAGGATCAAAACGCATACACACGTTATCACTGATGCAAGGCTTCCTAAACTTCGCTCTTGCCAATGGAAAAATCCAAGTTAATATTAGCTTAATATTGAAAAAAGTAAGCTGATCCTGATTAAGTTTTGATCATGCAGGTCCATATATATATATATATATATATATATATATACACACACACACACACACACACAAACACACACACATGTACATGTATACGTATACATGCGCATGAGTGTGTGTGTGCGTTGTCCTTGTTTAATGACTTAAAACACTTTTTTTTAACTCTAAATCAGGTAACTAATTCAAATCAATTCAAAATATAATATTGATACAAATATGGATTCCGGCCACAACAACCTTCTACCCTCCATGTTAAAGTTTCCAAATTTCACATGCAAGTATTAGGAGACTATAATTTCTAACGAAATGGTACTTAAAATAATGGTCACAAAGAGTTTTAAAATTTCTTTATAAAATTAAGAAAAATTTACATATAACACTCAATTCCCATGTATTTACATATCTAACACCTAAACTTCAATTTTAAATATGTCACCATACCTATGCATGAAAAGACATTTCACTTTCTAAAAGTTAAAATAGTAGTTTTTTTTTTTAATTTATGTGAGATGAGAGATTTGGGTGGTATAAATGTAAAAAGTCAAGTTTATGATGTTGGATATGTAAATACATAGGAGCTAAGCTAAAATTAAACATTGACATGGAATTTAGATATAAAAACTTAACAGGTGATGGAGAAGACGTTTAAGAGCACACCAAAATTATATGAGAGTGCCGATGAAAAGAAATAAGCCAATGATGATCAATGATACTGCACCAACTATTTCGCATAAAGTTGTGAAGATGAGGACGACGAGGGATTTAAGGATAAAGTTTCAAATAAAATATGGAAAGGGCATGAAGGGCAATGGCATTATAGGTGAAAAACATCTCAATTGAAGTAGCACACAATTTGCAATGACAACAATACATACAAACCGGAGCCACTTATGTAACATGCATTAGAAGGAAAGAATAAACTAGCACATCACAACCTTTTAGCTGCCAAAAAGATTCTCAATTGCTCCTAAAAAATTAATTACAATTTCTAAAATACACAGTTTAAAATATTTCAACTAGCACTTTCACGTTGTAAAAGCTAAATGAAAGGCATCAAACCGGCAGTTTCAGTTTCGTCATAGGGAAACTAGACTTCTACTCATGTGGAATGTTCCATACATGTATCTTAAACATATCCAATTGTAAACAAAACTTTGTAGTGTTGAAGTATTGGGTGACACTTAGCTCTCGTTGACAAAGGTCATGAAGCTTGATTTCAATCTCAAACAACTATGCAATGTTCTCAACACTAAAAAATGTTTCTTTTGCAGCTTCCCAAATTTTTTTAGAAGTTTTGTATTGCAAAAAGTTTTCTTCCGCTTTAGTGTTCATTGAGTTGAGTAACCAAGACATAACCATATAGTCTCAATTCTTCTAGGTAAGGCTGTTCCTCTTTCTCTTTACCACAAATATACAAAAACACGGATTAGAACTATGAAAGATAGTTATGGCCATTGAGTTTATGATTTGTGATAAAATTAAAAAGTTCAAGAGTCGTCTGGACAGGATTCCATCTTCAAAGTAAAACTTGATGTCTTCATCTTGTACTTTGCCATCATCCTGAAGCGTATTTAGGGCTGCTTCTACTTTCTAGTCTGAAATTGATTGCATCTTTTGCTGCTATTGTTGCTTCTATTTCTACTATTTGTTGCTAGTGATGTCACTGCTTCTGCCGCTGCTAGTAAAGGATATTTCTGCCGTAGGAGGAGCTGCTGGAAGAGGATATTGGGCTGCAAAGAGAATACAGTCGTAGAAGGGGGGAGATTTTCTGTAATAGGAAAAAACTTTGGAAGAGCCTATAGGGAGAAAATCCGGCTGAAGAAGTTCTGACTGCCCTGCAGGGAAGGAGGTCTAGTGCTGGAAAGAGGTTTGGCAATGGCAGGAAGGGCCGCCTGATGCTAGAAGGTAGTCTGGCTCTGGCAGGAAGGAGTTTCTGCTCTGGCAAGAAGGGAGTTCGGAATTGAAGGAGTTTTTGAACCTAGCAGGAAGTAGTCTCAGCTATGGGAAGGAGTTTCGACAGCTCTAGAAGGCGGTTCAGTAGCTCGGGGAGGGGTCTGTCAAGCACAATTTACTTGGGAAGGAAAAATACTTATTTAGTTATTCACAAATAGGGTACATATATATAGGGAAGCCAATCTCTGCTTATTTACAAACTTACCAAATATATACAACCTAAATTAGAAAAGGAAATAATTCTCAAATAAAAAATAGAATAACATAAAATCAGAAAGTGAATAACTAATCAAATGTTTCCTAAGTTGTCCAAATTAAATCCTCCGAGATTTGGATGGCCGGCTGACCCACACGAGAGGGGGAACGTAGGAAAGAATCGGATCTTCTCAGATTTTCACAGATAAAAAATATGCATCTTTAGAATTAGGAAAGGAGTGCGATTCACTCATTCAACAAAAAAATTCATCTATAGTATAACCTAACATAAATCAAAATAACAACCAAGAATAATTCTTAGAACAGTTTTAGAAACCGATAATTGCCATAAAAAGACAATGATATTCAAGGATGTGTCATTACATAAGAAACCTAAACAGTAGAGTACTTGGTTAAAACTGTGAGGCAAAAAAGCGAAGAAGGCTGAGCGAGCTTGAGAGAAACTATTATAACAAACTAAAAATAGCCTAATTATACACTTCATGAAAAATAACAACAAAAATATCCCATGATATAACGTGGGGACAATATAAGTTAGAAGACAATCTAAACATAAAACGAATGAAGTAGCAGTAGAAACAAAACAAGACATAGCTAAACTGAAATATAATTTGATATGTTGGCAAAATTTTAGTGATGAACTTTCAAAATTAAAATGTCATTTGAAGTTAAAACAAAAAAGAAGAATTTAAGCTCATGCCGTCTAGAAATTTTTATGCATTTATAATAGAAAAAAAAACGCAAACTCACAAAACTTCCAATATATATATATCATATATGAGAATAGGGAAGCTCTATTCACATTGCAACTATCATATACAAACTCTAAATCCCTAGAATTACAAAGATTAGTTATTCAAAGTCAAATTTTATAATATAAACTAAATCTAATCCCAATTTATTCTAATATAAACCTAGGAATATTAGATTTAATATTCTATCTTGAATTATGGAGCTCTACATTGGAATCTAAAGGCCGTTGTTTGAATAGGTCTAAAACTAAATATATGGAAAATAATTTTAGTAGTAGTAGCTCCGGTGGTAGAGATGTAATTAAGGGTGATCAAATCATTAGAAAGTGTGAACGTTTTAGATATCTCAGGTCTATTGTTCAAAGTGACGGTGATATAGATGAGGATACTATTAGTAGAACTAAAGTTGGATGATTGATGTCGAAGAATACATCGGGCCTATTGTGTTATAGAAAAGTACCACTTGGACTTAAAAGAAAAATTTTATAAGATGGTGGTGAGACATGTAATGCTCTATGATGTAGAATGTTGGCCTTTAAAAGAGAAAAGCATAAAACAAAGTTAAGTGTTGTTGAGATGAAAATGCTTGGGTGAATGAGTGGCTTAGCACTTAGAGACAAAATACAAAATGAATATATATGTGATAAGGTTGGTGTAGCTCCAGTGAAGGTTGGTGTAGCTCGTGTAGCTCCAGTGACGGACAAGATTAGAGAGGGTTGTCTTAGATTGTTTGGTCACAGTAAGTGTCGACCATCTGATGATCCAGTTAGGAGATTAGATGTTTTAGATTTGACTTATGTTAAGAAAGGCAGAGACCTAAAAAGACTTGGGTACATTGAATAAAAAATGATTGTAATATATTAGAATTAAATGAAAAAAATGACACTCAATAAGAAGCAATAGAGAAAAAAGATTTATGAAGATGACCCTACATTGTGGGACAAAGGCTTATTATTTTTGTTGTTATTGATAAACCTAGGAATACTTATATCATAATACATTAATAAAAAAAATTTGGCATGTGAAGTGCAATGACGGAAGTGATATTGCAATGATGTGGGGGGTGTCAATGGTGAAGACAATGGATTGAATGGAGAGAAGCATTGCAAGCCACCAAACATCTAATATCAAGAAGATATTATACTAAAATGTGATGGAGGGTTGAAAAAGAATAGAATTTGGTTTTAGGATTGACAGACATGAGATTGGAAGAAAAGTATATAGAAGAGGAATCGAAATCAATTGGGAGATGTGATTATAAGAACTATCTTTGATTCAATTCATTCTATAATTATCAAATATAAATCTTGCATTCGGATTAAAAAAAAAGAGTAAAAGATAGGTTCCCAACAAAATATTAATTATTCAAATTCAAATTTAATATAATCCTAAATCTAATCTAAAATTATTCAAAGATATATTTATCCAAAGAGGATAAATTATTCTAATAAAATGAATGAACAAATCATAATAACTAATTTGAATGAAATAACCTATAAAATTTTGCAAATAAATTTAAATAAAATATTTTATGTTGCATGAGAGAGACACGTAGAGAGAGAATTATTGTCCGAGCACAACCATATCCTCCATATGCAAAGTTGGTCCAACCCACACATAGAGGCATGCAATTTTTATGATTTGCATGCTTAACCTATTATTTGCAAAGCTCCTAACATTTTTTTTATTGAGAAAAAAAAAGCTAATTTAAACACTATTATGCTTGGTCAATGTATGAATGATTTTCATGTCAACTAATCTACATATGTTTTAAGCAATTTAAACACTAAGAAATCATACCTTCATTCTCATCACAGTATCTAGAGCTGGTTCATCCAGATAGTAATCATCTCTGTGCAGTGCTAATGCATGACCGATAGAGTCCACGGTATTGTCATCCAGGCCATATTTTCTATGCATGAAAAAATAACCTCATGTTTTTTGAGATGGATGAATAATGAAATATGAACACGAATAAAGTTCATTCCTAATTTCTGCAAAATTTATCGATCAATTCAGTTCAAGAAAAAGCACATGCAATTCAGAACAATAAAGGTTATCAAGCCTCGCCTACTAAATAGTTGGTATATTTGCATCAATGTTAGATTAAAAAAAAACATCCAATCAATAAAAGAGCAATTAAACTTCTTAACATGTTATAAACAAGGCTTATCCCTCCTAAAATGAGCAAACATATATTGTCTGTTATAAAAGTTTAATTGTTTGTGACAAAAAGATTCTTCAAAGGTTATCATATATACCATTCGATGCACCATTGCTCAAATTTAGAAGTAAATTTCCAAAGATTACAGGTTTTCTTTCATCAAAGTAGAATTAATAATCACCAATCAACATTTTCTAAAATAAGCACGTAATTTTTTTATTTAAGTAGAGCTATATATGAGATGGGGAAGGTTAGTAGTTGATTTTAAAACATCCTAATAACTAATTTTTAAGTGGCGAACATAATAATTTTATATGCCAAAAATATATGTAAAATAAAGATTAATTGTGATTGTCAACGATTACATCTCGAAAAAATCCAACTGAGACTCGAGCTTAGCTCAAAGTCATTCAATTCATCCTAGAGATTGAACAAATCTTAAATTGGGCAGGCATAGCTTATTTATTTTGATCCAAAGCTTAATCAAGTAAAAATTTGATTCAATTTTGATCGTTTTTTGTAATGTTACAAAAACTTAGTCATTCAACCTATAAACAAACAACCATGCATAAACATGAACAATTCTATCGATGCATATAAGCATTGATATAAACATTAGTGTCTATACATAAATATATGTATGCATGCAGTCATACATACATTTCAATTCCACATATATTTGTCGATTTAGTACCAACTCAATTCAAAGTTTAATGTGAGCTGGGGTATCTCATTAGTTGGCTAGTTCATTTAAATTTAAGCATTAGTTGAGCCAAAAAAACCTGATTATAAAGTGATCCTTGATTATTGATTCAAATTCATAACCATAACCCCAATACAATGTCTACCAAACCAAACATCATTTAAGTTCATACATAGCATGCCACAATAAATGTACATGAGAGTTTCAAATTTGCAAATTGCAAAAATGATTATAGAACTATCACAAGTACTGGAAAGATTCAGTGTGGATTCTTTCTAACCTAATATTTGATATGAAGTAGCATTGACCCATCATCGTTATCATCGCCGTCCTTACCCAAACCATATAGGATCAGCTTTAAATCTCATTTTTCATTTGTTCATGCTAAGTATTGTCCTATTTTTTTTAGATGATTTTCAAAAACTTCTATTGAAGTTCTTCCATTTTTCTTCCTAATTCTCCAACACAGATTTTATCTACCCATCTAATTGGTGATTTTTCTATCTTTTATTCTATATGTTCAGACCACAAAGTTTATTTTTAATAACCACCTTCAATAGATGTCCTTTCAGTTGTATATATAAAATATTTTTTTTCTTAATCCATCTTTTTTTTAGTTTTTCCATAGATTCATCTTAATATTCTAACTTCAGTCACACAAATTAATTATCAATAACATTTTTATTGCTTAAAATTTATATTCATACAACATGATTGTCGAATTCAATTTTTATAAAATATACTTCTGAGTAAAAAAAAAAACTACTTTTTAAGCCTCCATGATATATACTCTTATAACATTAGACTCCTAAGACATTTTTCATTCTAACAACCCACCCTTAGTTTTAGAATTTACATTTTCATGCTCTAAAAATATTTATTAATAATAACGAATTCCACACCTGACAAAATAATGTTTAAAATACTTCATCTTTGTTAAATTAAATATAATACATGTATTTTTTAATTTCACTGTCCTTTTTTTCACTAATTTCAACTGTCGTATCACTAGCAAAAACCAAGTCATCTGCAAAAAGTAGATAACAAGGCATCTCGCTAATACCATTTGTAAGTATCTCCATAACCAATACAAAGGCCAATAAGCTCAATATATATAAATGATGGATTCATTTTGTAATTGAAAAAATTTTAATGACCCTAAAAGTATTTCTAACACTAGCTCGTGGCATATATATCTTTAATAACTTCAAATTACCTTTGACACACCATTTCCCTTCATTTGTCCCAAATAATTCTATTGGTACTCATCATATACATTCCTAAGATCCATAAAATTAAATATAATAGCATGCACTTTTTATCATATAGCCAATACAAGAAGTCATCGTCAAGCTATTTTGGATGGCCATTTGAATTCTTCTTTAGCAGCCGCACTTTTAATAGAATGTTGGCATCCGTCCAAACTACTTCTAACAATCAAAAGCTAAGCCTTCCTTTGCATTAACCATTTCATTTAGTTTTATCTAAAATGTTCCAGACTGTTAACAAACTGTACCATGTTTCATTTCGCCCATTTTTCCAACTAATATACAAGGTAAACTCACCGCTCCCCTACTTCTCAATTTTCTCCTCCCAAAGACCCCTCACATTTCTAACTTCTTTATTTTTATTTAATCTATAGTTGAAATCTTTTTAATATATTAAAATTTTCATAATGTAGGGTTCAGTTTTGCTTTTGGAGTCAAACATGGGTTGCCTTTAAGTAAATGTATGCTTGCCAGAAAGTCTTTTATTACTCAATAATAACGACCAAACTAAAGTAGCCATTCCACCTTAAATCATTAAATTGATTATTTTATTGTTTCCGAGATGATATTGAACGTTTAATTTTTTTGATAGATGATTTTATAATTGCAGTGATCATTACATGATAAATTATTAAATTGATTATTTTATTGTTTCCTAAATAGAACAGAAATTATTTTATGTATTCAATCATTTTATTTGACTGGTTTAAAGTTAAATGATTACTAAGTAGCATGTTAGACTCTTGAACTATGTTTAATGTCAAACACTTGTTATGTCATCTTAGCTTATATTGAAGCCAGTGCTTTTTTCCTTTTTTTTTTCTTGACACTTTTGCAGTTGAGTAATGCAATCAATATATAAGTTGTAGCCTAATTTTTTTTACATGCACTCTAAAATGCATTCTAAGATCTTTCAATCGTGATGTCTTGATGCTAATATACAAATAATTTGATACCTTTATGCAATAAAAATAATTCTATTTAATAGGAAGTGCTAAATAACTTGTATAGAAAGACACTTGGCATCTTCTCAGTCAAGAATGAAAAATACAGCATTACTATATCACAATTCAACTCTAAATTTTAAAATATATACTAAACTTTATATATACTCAAATCTTTAAATCACAACGCCTTGATTCCACTCTATCAACTCCCACTGTGTTAACCCTTCATAGTAATCACTCACTGATGATCATCATACTTCAAAATTTTTTTTTCAATAACATGCTCCCACGTCACCAGTTCCTTTAAGATCTTTGGCTACATTGCCAACATGGCCGTCTCTGGTCCACCACGCCCCTCCACATCCTCGAAGAAATTAGGTCCTCCAAGAGAAGCATATGCTACTACAAAGACAATTCAATTGAAATGCTCTCGATCCATGTCGCCATTATAGTGATCAGAAACATCATTCTATGCTACAGCTAAATGTGTCTGTCGGTCAACTTTTTTTGATGGATTGATTTAGATTTTGAAAATATGAAAAATATGAAAATAATTTTTGAAATTTAATTTAAGTATAAGAGATATATATAGTTTGAGTTTTAAAAGTAGTATGTTTTAATTTTTGAAAAATGAGACCAAGTGGATCTCATTCGTCCAATAGTTTGCATAATCGTGCCTGATACCGCGAATACTACACCCTCCCGAAAGATAAGTGTAGACCTCGGCGATAGACCCAATCCTGCAAACTAAGAGATTTGTGACATCCGTTTAGTCTGCGAACCTTTTATATATGACCGACAAGTTCCCCTATCTAATACAAAGATTAAATAGGATTTATTTTACCTGAGTTCCAAGTTCCCTATAGAGGCAAGCCCCTATAGTTAATTATATCCCAAATGACGGGAGTCACTTGAAAAAACTCTCGATAATGATCAATGGTTCTAGTCTTCAAGAATTCAAGGTTCAGGTTTTCAAGGTAGGACGTAGAAGGGCAAATGTGAGCGGCTCAAATATGAACAGTTATTTCAGGAGTCCAAAAGAAAGAAAAGATAGGGGATGTCACAGATCTTGAGGAGAACCCTCAATGACTTCCCAAACTATCCTACTGTGTGGCTGCATTTTTAGAGATGATTTTATTTAGATGTTTAGTCCTGCCAATTTTATTATTTGGGACTTACATTTGCATAATATCCGATTATGCAAATAACCCGCAGATATAAGAGGGTTTACGTTGTAACGAACAACAACCTCAGAACCTAAAGCGAATTAGGACTTCCACTGCACAATATTGTTGCACAGGTGCCTAAAGAGGGAATGTGAGGATTTACGTCGCGCTAGGCGAGCTACCTCGAAGTCCTATGGGTTGTTATTATACTAAGAAGAAATAATGTTGAAGAAGATCCTCTTGCTGCTCGATCTGAATTCCTCGCCGTGCTGCCCACAAAGTTGGCTCCAAGCTCTTGTCGTCGCGATGGCTCCAGGGTTTAAGTGTTTGAAAATTGTAGTTTATGTTTCACAGTTTTGATGT